CACCACCACCTCCTCCATTTCCACCACCACCACCACAACCACCACCACCACCACCATCCCCACCACCACCACCACCACCATAACCACCAACTCCACATTCATCACCACCACCACCTCCACTCCATCACTACCACTACCACCACATGATTAGTACATAACACTTTTAACATCATGTTTATTTTAGTCATTATTCACAGTTACAACAATTTTATATTAAAATTTACCAAACGGTTTTGACACTACTTTTTGTACTAACAGCACTTTAAAAATATTGTTTATCAAACATGGAGCTGCTTTACTTTACAGCTAATTATTTTCAAAGCACAGTATAAGCAACTTTTTTTTAAAAGTGACAGCAATCCCAAACTGGGCCTTAGGCATTTGCTATTTTGATAATGCTCATGTGTGGGCAAATGATGCTCTAGTTGATGACCTTTTAGGGGTCTCTCGTTAGTCAGATTTCCCTTGCTAAAGTGTAGTTGTTTGTTGGGGTTTATCACCCCCATTTCATAAAATTAAAAAAAATTAAAAAAGTATTTGATTTAGTTAGGTTCAATTCGGATTAAAGTCTCCTATTAATCAAAGGATTAAAGCCTCCTATTAATCATAGGATTAAAGCCTCTTAGTAATTGATTTATTTTTTTTTGGGTTATGGACTCTTAGTATTTGATTTGATTTTTGTCAAAGTGTTCAGCAGTGTTGAATGAATCAATTATTTTTTGAGTAATGATCGTCCTGCTGTTGTTAATTATTTGGGTTGTTATTTGCTTCATTGGTAATTAATAGAAAAGTGGAAAGTTTGTTGGGTTAATTAATAGAATAAGGGTAAATCAGGAAAAATCTTAGAGCACTTCCACCCCAAAGGGCAAGGGCAAGGGCAAGGGCAAGACAAAGGCAAGGCAATGTTTATCACTATTCATGTGAATAGTGGCAGCCCTTGCCTTTTTTTTTTCCACCCCAAAGGGCAAGGACAAAGGCAATTACTATTCACTTTAATTTATTTTCTATTTTTTATACTTAAACCATTAATTTTGATAAGATTTTCGGTTGCCACGCGTAACTATTTATTCTAAAATTCTCACCTAAAATTTCAAATAACATTTTCGGATAACATTTTAGGATAAAATTTTAGGATAAAATTTTCGGTTGTCACGTGTCCATATTTTGTTATAACATTCAGATCTCAAATTTCAGATAAGATTTTTGGATAAGATTCTCGGTTGCCACGCGTTGATATTTATTATAAAATTCTAATATTAGATTTTAGATAATATTTTCAGCTTCTAAAATTGCACCACGTGTCATCTCTATCTTCTAAATTCCTCTATATAACTACACCCCAACTCAGACCTTTCACACCATATCTTCTCTATCCTTTCATTTCTCAGTTTTACAAAACACATTCTACTCTCAATATCTAACTTGAGGAGAGTGTTGGAGAGGCAACAGCGAGAAGATGAAGAAATCAGGCCCAGACGTGCTGAAGAAGATCGTGAGTTGGATAAAGAGGAGGAAGAAGTTGTTTTAGCGGTGGGTATGCTCAATCAATCAAGGCAACACCATCGTGGTTGTGCCCCGAATGTGGACAGACATAGGCACTCTCGGTGTAAGAATCTCTTGGAAGATTACTTTATCCCAAATTCTTTGTATTCTATTTTTGATTTTTGAGGGAGATATAGAATGCAGCCCCATTTGTTCCAAAAAAATCATGCATGATGTTTGCAATTATGACACATACTTCGTTCAGAAGTACGATGCTCTTGGGGTTTTGGGTCTTCTTCAAAAGCAAAAACTTACAGCTGCTTTGTGGATGCTTGCTTATGAGGCATCTGCAGACCAGGTGGATGAGATTGCTAGGATGGGAAATCAACTATCTTAGAGTGATTGGTCAGATTTTGTGATGCAATCGAAACTCTCTACACGAGAGATTACCTCCGCAAACCTATGCCTAGGGACCTCTGAAGGCTTCTATGAAAAGCCTAGGCTCAAGGTTTTCCAGGCATGATTGGAAGCATCGACTGCATGCACTGGCAGTGGAAGAATTGCCCAACTGCTTGGCAAGGAGATTATGGGAATAGGAAGGGCCAAAAAAGTATAATTCTGGAGGTCGTTGCATCATTTGATACCTAGGTTTGGCATGCTTTTTTCGGAGTTGCTAGATCTCAAAACGACCTCAACGAGCTTGGTCAATCCCTGGTATTCAATGATGTCTTGAGAGGTCATTCCCCCCAGATCACGTATCAAATCAACAATACTGTATACTCGAGTGGGTACTACCTAGCCAACGAAATTTATCTGAGGTGGACGACATTCGTCAGAACAATTCTGAATCCCCAATTGGAGAAGGAAAAAAGCTTTACTGCCCATCAAGAGGGTTATAAGAAAGATGTGGAAAGGTGTTTTGGTATTCTGCAAGCTTGTTGGGCAATTATTAGGGGTGCTGCTCGTATGTTTGATGAAGAAGTGCTTCAAAGCATTATGATGACTTGCATCATCCTCCATAATATGATTGTGGAGGATGAGTATGATTATAATGCCCCAGAGATGTTTGAACTCGATCCCATGAACGAGGCATTGACAAGAATTTATGAACGGCCCGTGGGTGCAAATGGACAACCACTGGAGCACGAACCGTTGATTAGGGATGGTCGATACAACAACCCTATGATTGACCGTTATCAGAAAATGCAATCTTCTTATATTCACGAGAGACGTCAAGTTGATTTGATCAAGCACTTATGGGCGATGAAAAGCAATCATGGTGGATGAAGTCAAGTTTGATGCTTTGTTTTTTAATTATGCTTTGTTTTGTGTGTGGTTTGTAATGAGTTAAGGTTTGTTTTGATGTATGAAATGTTTTTAATAAATAGCTATATTATTTAATGCTTTCTTTATTCAATAAAAGAGAAACAATACAACAAAGTAATAGATATGGCAACTCTTTCAAAACAACCTAATGGTTTTGATCATTTAACCAATCCATGTTGCTAGGTCCATCGTCATGGAAAAGCTTTATTCTCATAACATCCCTTCGTTTTAGCTTCTAATAGGACTTTGTTTCAGTTGACATATGACTCGTATCCATGGCCATGATTTTTATCTCTCTGTCCTCCATGTCTTGTTCTTGTGCTTGCTGCCTTTCAATTGCATATGCTTCATATCGTGCCTTGTCATTTTCTTCTCTTTTCAAGTCTCTCAATTCTCAGTGCGCTGTTCTTAGCAATTTGCTCCAAAAATTTTACACATTCAGTGTTCGAAGTGCTCCCTCTCTTGGCATTTGTCGTCTTTCTCCCAATAGGCCTCGGCTCACGTTGGATTGGTGAGTCTTGATTCATTGGGGCGTCCAATGGTGAATCGTGGAGCGGTGTCTCATTCAACACAACCGTCGGACCCGTGCAAATAATTTTGAATCTCGAAAAATTCTTCACAACATCCCAACATTGGTGATAGTTAAAACATTTTTTGCCTTTCCCAATGGCACTGAACCACAATTGTGCTTGAATAATCTATTAAAAAAAAAAATGGAAATGCACTAATATTAAATTGAATAAAATGGCAATTAGAAATTTGTTACCTTGTTGCTAAGATTTTGACCTCTTCGAACTTCTCCCTCGCTTTTGCTAAAGCATCTCTCAATTTCTCTAACTCTTTATTTAAAATTTTCCACCTACTAGCCAAGACCATTTCCGTCCAAGGCGAACCTGATCTTTCACAAAATTCTCCATGAATTTTTCTCCACATATGAGAGAACTTCATCTCATTGCTCGTGATCGGGCAATGACCAACTTTTACCCAATACTCACACAACTAAATATCTTCCTGAGTTGTCCACGCGCCTCCGACTTCGATGGAAGAGGCCATTTGTTTTTTGATACAAATGGAAAGTAGTAGAAATATTTGAGTGGAAAGTAAAAAATATTGGAAGGAGAAGAATTTGTATGAAGATTTGGTGTGGAAAGTGAATAATATTGTTAGGTATTTATAGGGAAAAAAATCCAGAATTTTTTGATATTTTTTTATAAAAAATTTCAAAAATTTTTGCAATGTTTTTAGCCAAAAAAAATCACTTCGTCGGATTTCTCAAAAAAATTTGATCCGAGCGTTCGGGAAGCGCCACATGGCTTCTTTTCATTGAAGCTTGTCAGGGCATGACGTCAGCGAGCGGAAATTTTTTTACCATTGGCTCATGGATTACACGTGCCAACGGTAAAAACATTTGATTTCAACACTGCTGACATCAGCAGCCCTCAAGTGCAAGGGCGGGCTTCTCTTGCCAGTGGGCTTGCCTGGGTTGGACTTGGCACGTTGGAGTTGCATTTTGGCCCTTGGGCCCCCTCCTGCCTGGGTAAACCCTGCGCGGTGGAAGTGGTCTTATTAAAGCATTATATCCCTCTCATAATAATGTCATCAAACAAATAGAAAATAAAGAGTCAACTATAGTTAAACCCATGGACATGTGTCACCTAGAAAGGGTGGTGAGAGTACACCTTGAGTTAAAGTGGTAAGCAAAAATGCTTCATACAAAGCAGAGAGACAAGGGCATATGGTAGCGGGATCTCTAGACATCAAGTTTTCAAGATCAGATGGATCCAATATGGAAGGGAAAGCCATGGACTACTAATCCATTATTTTATGGCCGACACGCGATTAACGGTTTATCTACCTACAAATCAAATTTAAATTTCTCATCCAAGGCTGCTAAACACAATTAAGGAAAGGATGCGATAATAATTTCTAGGAAAGGAAAAAGCATGTGAGAATTTGAGTAAATGTATAAAAGGGGGAAATTAGTATAAAGCTTTTAAGAAACAAGCATCCATTAGGAAGCAATTCTTTCAGATCAAAGGCTGTCTCTAACTCTAACTGCAGCAGGACATCAACCTGTACAAACCATCTTTGTCCTTTTTGGAGTTCATTCAACACTGACAAGCAGAGAAAAATCAAAACCAAAAGGGAGGTAGAACTAAAATTGAAACTAAACCTCAGGTCCCCTTCCATATGTGCAAAATAAAGCCAATTTAAACTGATACAGAAGTTATAGCTGCTCTGCTTAAGGGGACATGAGATTAATATGATCATTAGTAGTATGTCTCTGTCTCCGTCTCCAGGGTTCGGGGTTTAGCTTCAAGTGTGAGACTAATGTACATTAGGTAAACAAGATCAAACCCCTTTGGTATCTGATGTAAGAAGTCCCATTTTTTCAGTAAGGTTATCCATATTATGCTGGGTTTTGTTCCATCCATTCCCTGTTGACGGCTGCTCTTCATTTCCCATGGGCACTCCTCCTTCTGCAGAAGTAGAATCCATTTCATCTGGTTCTGGACTTTGTAAAAATTGATCCCAATTCTTTAGCAATGCTTCTATGTCAGGATCAGGAGGAATACTATCAATGTCTATGGGCATTGACCCATCCAATCCCAATATGTCGCCGATAAATCCATCACCTGCGTCAGATGCCATGTTTTCAATAAATCCAACACCCGCATCAGGTGCCATGTTTTCTTCAGGAAAATCAACTAAACTTTCAGGTACCATTTCCGGTATTTGAGAAAGCTCAGGGATGATTACACCTGCCTGAGAAATAGGGATTGATTGTGCCTCTTGTGCTCCAACGAGGGCATTTATATCTGAGAATGGAGCTCCTGTAACTGTTCCAGAGTTTGCAGCCCGTAGAGAAGATTGTACTTCTGAAATTGCAGATGACGAACCAGGCCCTGAAATCAGTGGGACCTCTTGAAGGGTCACTCCTGACGCACGGCTTGAAGAGCTCCCACTGTCTATTAAACTGGATGATGATGATGAGCCATTGCCAATCAGGAAGTTATCAGGGCTGTCATTAAAAGATTCCAGCTGGGAAGAAGAAGTATCTGTTGTCATAATCTGCCTGAGCATTGCCTTTGCTGCTTCATTCACCGGAGGCTGATACTTCACAATCTGTCCATCAGGAGTACCAGAGTGCCCGCCCTCATCCTGCTTGAGCCTCCGTTTTTTGTTGACTTCAATTATGCGCCTATTGCTCTCATTCTGCTGCTGTACAAACTGAGTCAAGAAACTTGGGCTCTGCACAGCCTTTGCAAGGAATGACATCATCTGTTGCTGCCGCTGTTCCATACCCTGAAGACGTTGCACCATTGCTTGCAGCTGGTTATCAGTAGACTGTTGCTGCTGCCTCAACTTGATAAGTTCCTGCATAAGCACATTCTTGTCCCTTTTTAGCCTCTCAACCTCTTCCTCAAGGCCAAACTTCCCAACCTCTACACACGCAGCCACTGAATTCTGTCCTTGTGATGGCTGTGGCTGTTGATGACTATGTCCATGCGCAGGTTTTCGCCGGTTGATACTCTTAAGGAGATGCTTCTGACCCCTCAAAAAGCCCTCATTTGCAAATTCCCAGCGGTCTGGGTCAACCTTCCTAAATCCCTGTTTGAACCAAAATGAAGGAGGGGTTCAATCAACATAATGAAAATTAAAGGAAAAAATGCATGATTCAGCAAAACAATGAAAGAAACAAAAACAATATCAGGACAAGCAGGCAGGAAAACATTGATGAAGAAAAATGGATCAATTATCTACCCACTTATAAGAAAAACGACTACATAGTTGATCAATGGAGTTCAAGAGACTTATCTTAAGCCAATTAACGTATTCCCAACAACAACAAAAAAGTAAGCACATTCAGAAAGGTTCACAACCTAGCTCACCAAGAAACTGCAGGGACTGTCACTCAACTGAAGCCCAACATTTGGGAGCTTCTCTGCATCAACATTCCTGGAAAACTAGTTTTTTCACCCCCAATACATCCAGAAGTGTATAACTAAACAATTATTACCCAGTCCACAACCAAAACATGTAAACCATTACAACACTACCCGGCTCAAAGCAATGTTTACTGTAGAATCTGTCCTTGCAATGCTTGTCCCATTTCATTCGTGATAGTAAAATAGGTCACCCAGTGGTCTCAGAGATAGTAAAAGAGGTCCCCAAGTGGTCAGAGCAGCCCCAAAGTACAAAATTTGAATCTTCTCAACTCAACTAAAACATTTATAATTGGGAACAGTAACAAAAATAAAATGACAAAGGATTAACTGTAAATGATTACAGTCGGAAAAGCTAAAAATACAACTCATCTATCATGTGAAGCCTACCCAAATTTCAGTCCCAATCCAATTTTTCAAGTCCACCGAGAGGTGAAAATCAACAAAGGTTTAAAAAATAACTTCACATCCTTAGTTCTTCCTATGCAGTAGCACTTCCTCCGACTCACCACATGGGCACCTTGTACATGTTAGGAACCAATAGTGTGCTTATACCCAGAGTCTAAGTTACTAGTGACACCACTCAACAAGTACACTCCCCATAACCACCAAAAAGTCTTCACATTGATACCACACTATACTCAAGTTTAGCATCTTTGATTCTCTATTCAAGCAATTTCATATGCAGAGTTACTCAAGTTTAGCATCTTTGATTCTCTATTCAAGCAATTTCATATGCAGAGTTCACATAACTTATAACTAGTACCTTTACAGAATATCATTCGAAATGTGGCTCAGCCAAAATAAACAATGAGTAGCTACGGAGACCTTCTCTACCAGTTCTTTCTAAGCATGTCTTTGATGCAAGCCCACATACCCCACACAACTTTACCAGAGAAAACCATATAGCACAATCAAAACATAAAACCAAATAAAAGCAACCATCTCCCAAACAAGATTTGTAATGTAAATAAGAATCCTGAAATATCTTATCTCACATATCAAAAGTTTCAA